GACAATAATGATATCAACAATAATAATAATAATGATAGCAATAATAATAATAATAATAATAATAATAATAATAATAATAATAATAATAATAATAATAGTAATAATAATAATAGTAATAATAATAATAGTGACAGCATATGAATTAAAGACTTAATCTCAAGTAAACATTTATATCAAATAAAAGACATAATTAAAATTTTTGCAATGAATGCATCACTTGAAATAATTCTCGTACTTTTCTTCTACTAAAAGTTAGACAATAGGAAATGGGTGACATTATTATATTTCAACGGTAAATGTATTCGATGATAGGAATATGAGAAAAAATTATTGCGCTCGAGGTGTGAAAACATTGCGAGAAGGTTGGCCACAAGAAGCAATGATGTGCGACGAAATTGAAAGTCATCCGTTCGAAGAATTTTGCAACACATATGATACTGTCATGAATAAAATACATGATATCACAGCCCCTATTATTAATAATGAAGCAGATTACGACGATGATTTCGACTAATCATCTTATCAGTGATGAAATGGATTTATAATCAGAATTCCGATTAATCACCCAGCTATGAATTAATCATATATACATATAGAAATATGCAAATACTATAACTGTTTGTGCAACATTTTACTTTGTATATTTTATTTTACAACTTTTGCAATTTTTAGTTTGAATATAACATGTAATAGCATTTCTGTCCGTATCCATCGGTTCGGATTGCATATGCACTTGTTTAATTATTGGCAGCCCTTGTTTATTCGGATTACATAATCCTTAGCAATCATTGATTGATTCAGATTATGTATTTACTTGATCCTATGCTATTCGTTTGGTCTTCTGATTCATTGAAGTTGAATGAAATAAAAAATGGTATAAAAATTTAGTAACATCACACCAAAATAAACTCAGATAAAATATTAAATATGTCATTATTGAATCAATAAGAATATAATGGCAAAATAATTGAAATGATAATAGAGTAAAAGTATTAGAGAAAATTTTCTACCTTCAATTAAATTTAGCAAAACTATTAGACTGTTTTTACAAATTATTGCGACTAGAAATCTCTATTATCTAATCATCAAAAAATAATTTTAAATATTTTTGAATTCAAAAATCCTCTCTTAAGAGCTTTCAAAAAACTAAAAATTTAAACACCAAATTTAAAAGTAATTTTAAATTTTGATATATTTTTAATCCAGAAATTATATTATGTCGTCCTCTTTGGATTCACTTTGGGAATAATTGAATATGCGTGAGGATAGAAATTGAGGATGGGATCAGCTGTTTTCGCAATGCGTATGTCAATGTGATTTACTGCTTCTTGAATTTTAGCAAAACGTTTGTGCCGGTTGCTAAAAGCATTTCCGTTTTATCAAGTTTTTATTTTTATTCAGTAGTGTTTGAGGGTAAGTAAATGAAGTAGAGATTTGAAGTTAACAGTTAAAGGTTCAATGTTTAACACATTTTTTCTTAGTCCAGTACTAACTGAAAACAGATTTAATATCATTATCATTTACTGTAAATTGTATTTTTATGAGTTGTTTCCAATTAATGTGTAAAAAGATTTCTTGTTTGAGGGAGGAACTGTAGTACTTTTCTGATTTTTCCTTTAATCATAGAAAATTTGATAAACTGTCGGATTTTTGTAGTTGTAAAGTGGTTGTTATCTGAAATATTTCGTGAAATAGAATCTTACAGATTAATATTAATTGTTGTGGATGATGATTGGAGAGTGGGAGTAATTCTTATAGAATCCGTTCTTGCTTTCTTTTGCAAGATATCTTGTGTTTCCAACATTTACAGACGAATATGACAACGGTAACCATCCCGGGTTCTCTCGTCAATAAGCGGAAAAAGCATTTTCTGGGCATGCCTGCACCAGCGGGTTACGTTGCTGGTGTTGGCCGTGGTGCAACTGGTTTCACCACACGTTCAGATATCGGACCGGCCCGTGACAGTACCGACTTACCAGAATTACCACCAGCTGGTCCGACAAAAAAGGCCCGTGAAGATGACGATGATAAGAAGGATGACAATGAAGATCTGAATGATTCCAACTATGATGAGGTCGAGCTAGCTGCTTTTTTATTGAATCATAGTAGAAATATGATGCTAATTATTGTAGTTCAAATTGAAGCGTTTGAGCACTAGTAACTAATTTTACGCACATTTTGTCTGTAAGTTAATTATAATGAAAAAACAGTTCGTCTATGTTGGAAATATCTCTTTAATTAGTTGTCCTTATAATGTTTTGAACAAGTCTTTTTTTTCATTAAAATTAGTAGCATTCTTTATTTATAACATATGTTGAAATTTCAGTTCGAAGGTTATGGTGGAAGCTTGTTCTCGAAAGATCCTTATGATAAAGATGACGAAGAAGCGGATGAAATTTACAGTGCAGTTGATTCTCGGATTGATGAACGTCGGAAAGAATATAGGTAAACTTGTATATTAACTGATGGTTATTAGGTTTAGCACTTTCAACCAGTAGCGATTTGATGCATTTAACTTTTTTAATAGGTTTCTATTTGATTTAGAGAGAAGAAGTATAAAGAAGCAATCGAAAAATATCGTAAGGAACGGCCCAAAATTCAGCAAGAGTTTTCTGATTTGAAACGTCAATTGTCTAACGTGACGGAAGCGGAATGGTCTGCAATTCCAGAAGTTGGTGATATTAGAAACAAAGCTAAACGTAATCCACGAGCAGAAAAGTATACTTTTTTAATTCTTATTTTGAATTTTTCTTAATAATCATTGTTCTTAGTTTTCTAATACTCCTTTTAGCACATAACAGAGATTTTCCAAGCAAAAATAAAGAGTTATTTAACGAGTTTCAGAAATCATAATTAGCAGTTATGTTATGGTTTTTAGGATTACTCCGGTGCCAGATTCGATAATCGCATCTGCGATGTCATATGGTCAGATGAGTACCCAAATGGACAGTCGTATTCAGTCAGGTCTGCTAACACCAATGGGTTCCGGAATTACCTCAACGTTTAGTGGAATGATTTCTACCTACGGCAGTGGTTTTATATCAACATTAAGCGGCCTAAAAAGTGGCTTGTTAACGCCAGGCTGGAAGACTGGAATACAGTCCGGTTCTTCATCATCTGCAGATCTTGACTTACGAAAAATTGGCCAGGCTAGAAATGCAATCATGGATATTAAACTAAATCAGGTACCGTTCATTTATACAATGCATAATAGCATGATGGGGTGAGAGTATTGTATGTAGAATTCCATTCATCTGATACTTCAATGTTTGATGAGTATCAGAATTTTGATTTTTTCTTCTGAATACCACAAAATTTTATTATTTCTACTCTTTGTTGAATGTGGAAACGGCACTAATTGATTTATAGATTAGATTCTAAAGAAATATATTTTGTTAGACAAAGTTGATTTTATTATCTTTTTGTATGACAAGTTTTTTCATTCAGGTTTCGGATTCCGTTACGGGACAAACAGTAGTGGATCCAAAAGGTTACTTAACAGATTTACAGTCAATGATACCGCAATATGGTGGTGATATTAATGATATCAAGAAAGCTCGTTTGCTCTTGAAGTCAGTTCGAGAAACCAATCCACGCCATCCACCAGGTAAATTTATCATGTGTGCTCCTGTTTTTCAGCATAACTTTCCATGAGATATTTCAAGTACTAATCCAACGATAACAGTATTCATTCCGTTGAATTTTGCGACAACACGGTTGTGGTCGACACTGGGTTGATTTCTACTTGATGTATATCAAATTTATTTTATCCATGTACTTTTCATGCTGAAATTTCAAATCAATTTTGTTCCAGCATGGATTGCTTCGGCGCGCCTGGAAGAAGTGGTTGGAAAATTACAGGTAGCTCGTAATTTAATCATAGAAGGCTGTGATCGAAATCCAAAGAGCGAAGATTTGTGGCTGGAATCAGTTCGTTTGCACCCTCCGGATACGGCGAAAGCTATTGGTAATGATGAGTGGTTTTATTTCAGATTGATTTAAATGCGTTTGAAACCTTAAAGGTTCATTCTTGAAATATCAAAATTTTTTTTACAGTGGCTGCTGCTGTACGTTCATTACCAAATTCGGTTCGTATATGGATGAAAGCAGCTGAACTTGAAGAAGACTTAAAAGCAAAAAAGAAGGTGTTTCGCAAGGCTTTGGAACAAATTCCAACTTCAGTACGTTTATGGAAAGCGGCGGTGGAACTGGAAGAACCAGAAGATGCTAGAATTTTACTCACAAGGGCTGTGGAATGCTGCAGGTATGAAATTCCAGTGTTTTATAAGTTTTTCTAAAGTTAATGAAGCGTGATTCGAATGAAACGTGTCTTTACTTATTTATTCGAACTTTGTTGTAATCAAGCATTATAATGCGGTTTAGGGGTTTCAGTGAATCAATTGGAGGAAAATTGTTTCAGATTTAGGAAATTTTGCACTAATATTGGAGTAGCTTTTCAAGATGAACAAGTTTTAGCACTTCAACGGAGCTATGGCTAGCACTAGCACGTCTAGAAACGTATGAAAATGCACGCCGTGTTTTAAACAGAGCTCGTGAGCATATCCCTACTGAGCGACAGATTTGGATTAGCGCTGCGAGGTTGGAAGAAACTCGAGGACAAAGTGATATGGTTGATAGGATTATCGAAAGGGCTATAACTTCCTTGAAGGCGAATATGGTTGAAATCAATCGTGAACATTGGCTGAAAGATGCCGTTGATGCCGAAAAGGTAAGCTTTATAATGTATGGTATATATTCAGAGCTTTGCAAACTGTTATGTTTTGTTGGTCCTGGAAAAGGTTTGGCAAAAGAAACATAGTGAATTATGAATAAAGTCATTTTTAGGCTAACTGCAAACTCACTTCGCAAGCTATAATTTCGCATGTGCTCGGAATTGGCGTTGAGGAAGAAGACCGGAAACATACATGGATGGAAGATGCAGAATCGGTAATTTTATGATTATTGCTGTTTAAATTTCTACATGGTCTGTACAGTTGATTTGAAGTGAAGTTCTATGTGTCAAAGCACTTCCTTTTTTGCTGTATATCATTAAAATTTTATAAATTTAGCTTGAATGTTTAGGAGAAAATTTAATTTGTAGTTTGTTGCTCAAGAAGCGTATGAATGTGCCCGCGCCGTATATGCTCATGCCTTACTTGTTTTTCCAACCAAGAAAGGTATCTGGTTTGCTGCAGCACACTTTGAACGAAATCATGGTACAACGTAAGTTTGTTTAGAAGATACTTCTGCTCTAGTCACTTATAGGGCAAGAAGGACTGATAATTGGAGGGAACAGAAAAAGATATTTATGACTGTTAATAACATTAGTGAAGTTGCATTTGGAAGCTTTTGGAATAGTTCATTAAAAAATTGCACAATTTTTAGGGAAAGTTATGATCAGTTGCTGCAGAAAGCGGTGGAGAAGTGTCCAAAAGCAGAAACATTGTGGTTGATGTATGCGAAAAGTAAATGGTTGACAGGTGATGTAAAAGCCTCTCGTGAAATTCTTGCAAGAGCTTTTCAGGTTATATTTTTGATTTGTATTGCATACTAATAAACAATTATTTATTCCTTCCATTGTTTTACTTATATTTCTATATTATTAGAAATTTTCTATATTATTATATTATTAGAAAGTTTAAAAATTTTTGGTTGAAATTATATAAAAAATGATACTTGATTTCAGAATAATCCAAATTCAGAAGAAATTTGGATGGCTGCTGTAAAATTAGAATCCGAAAACAACGAATTTCAAAGAGCTCGTAAATTGTTGGAAAAAGCTCGAGAAATCGCTCCTTCCCCACGCATTTATCTTAAATCTGTTAGGTGAGGCTGCTTTTAATTACTTTCAGGACCATTATCTTCAACATAAAGACTAGCCTATTTATTTTCTCTAGGATCTCGTCATAATATGGATTCATGTTAGTACTACAAGCAATACAAAATTGGGCTAACATGTTATCTTCTTCACCATATAAATTTCATTTGTGAAGATTGACACGAAATTAAAAAAGTTGGAATCTACTAATTTAAATGAATTATACTTAATTTTTTTACTCTTCATACTTTCAGATTAGAATGGTGTTTGAAAGATTTAATTGCTGCCAAGAAGCTTTTAATGGAAGCATTAGAACAATTTCCAGAAACGCCGAAGTTATATCTTATGATGGGTCAAATACTTCAGCAGGAAAAGAATTATAGTGAAGCGCGCCGGTATTTTTCCAACGGTGTAGGCTTTTTTTGGCATTTCATTATCATCTGTTTTAGATTTTAACTTCTTGATCTCTAATAAAATCCCGTCTCAAAGCGTTTTTCAGGTCAAACATTGTCCTACCTTTATACCACTTTGGATCTGGTTGAGTCGTCTGGAGGAATCACAAAATCAGACAATAAAAGCTAGGTCTGATCTGGAAAAAGCTCGTTTACGTAACCCGAAAAATTCAGAACTCTGGCAAGTTCTCTTTCTCTTTTGGAATATGAAATAGGATTTAGGGATTGTTATTTGTTTCTAAGATGTAGGAAGGTTTTAAATGAAATCATTTTTAACTTTACAAGAATTTTAGGCTAGAAGCAATACGAATTGAAGCCCGAGCTGGTTTGAAAGAACTTGCACATGAAAGGTTGGCTCGAGCCTTACAAGAATGTGAACATTCAGGTAATTATAGGCTTCTGATGTTTTCTTCAAGTTTTTGCTTTTCTATTTGTGGATTTAATCAGTCCTTTATTAGAGTATGTTTCATTATCATCCTGAACAATTTCCCGTCATTTGATTTACATTTTTATAGATATTACATCATGATATTGCCTGATATTTTTCAATTAATTACCAATTAAAGTTTCTGCATTGTTGAGATTTTTGTTGATTTTTTTTAGCAAATTCTAGAAAATAAAGAATAGGATAGTAATTTAAAGATCATAAAATCAGCTGAGTTTCCGAAATTACAGGACGTTTGTGGGCAGAAGCAATTTTTATGGAAGAGCGCCATGGTCGACGTACAAAATCAGTTGATGCTCTGAAGAAATGTGAACACAGTGCTGACGTTTTATTAGCTGTAGCGAAATTGTTTTGGACAGAACGGAAAATCAGGAAAGCACGTGAATGGTTCCAGCGAACTGTCAAAATTGATCCTGATTTTGGAGATGCTTGGGCATTCTTTTATAAATTCGAACTGTTGCATGGTTCACAAGTAAGTCAAAGATAGCACAGCTTTACTTCACATTGCTCGAAACTATTGCTTGGTTGCTGCTAGAGTCGCTTTATTTCCGATAAAACTATTAATAAATTCGAACTGTTGCATTTTTTCAACAATCAAAACTACTGAGTTCAATTAGGACTCAGTAGTTTTGATTGTTGAAAAAATCCGAAACTATTGAAAAAAAAAACAATGTGTGTTATGCCTAAAACTATGAAAGACAGCCTATGTTTTTAAAGGAAGAACAAGATTTGGTAAAGAAAAAATGTTTGCAAGCTGAGCCGCGTCACGGTGAACTGTGGCAAGAAGTGTCAAAGGATGTGGAAAATTGGCGTAAGCGAACGGACGAAATTTTGGCTGAACTTGCTGAAAAATTGGAAATGCCGAGATAGTAGTAATATTAATTTTTCTCATATTAGCTTATATGATTTTCCATGAAGTTATTGAATGTTCGTAAATCATATTGCTATCTCGGCATTTTGTATAGCATTTGAGTAGAATCTAAGTAGTCTCCGGTAGAATATTGAATGAATGATTTCGCAGTTTTGTAAAAGGGGAATGGGAAAACAAGTCATTTCTCTTGAAAATTTGCTGAGTTAGTTTAATTGTTCATTGTTTAATAGGAAGAAATCTACTTCATACTTAACTCATGATTACGTTATAAAGCTAGGCTTGTAAATGATTTGGTCCCTGGTCTCAATCACTAACATTTCCCTTCGAATTTCTATTGTTCTCCCGTATTTCTTTATCGCTGTTTTTCTAGATCCCATTGATTTTCTTGTTATGTGCCACGTGATGGATTGATTATTCATGAAATCAATTTTACTGATGGGAACTTTCACAGTTTCTACTTGGAACTCTTTAAATAAGTAATTTGTATATGCTGACAACGTTAAATATTTTGCAGTTTATTTTTAATTGATCTAATAAATTGTTTTCATATTTGTTACTCATTTATACCTCTTTTTGGTTTTATCGAGCAAGCAATACGATAATCCACTACTTTCGACCTTTTTTTATCAAAGGGGTAGATTTCAATATCGATAAGGAATAGTGTCCCGGTTGTTCTTTGTGCGATACTTTTCGGTTATAATTTGTTGATTTGATCTCAACTGTGTTACACATTATTTTTATGAATTTAATGCAAAACGAATGGTGGATGTGCAAGAGTGGTTTTGTTTCAGAGCAGATTGTGTTCATGAAATTGCTTCAGTTTACATTTGTAATCCTTCAATGCGAAAGGATGTTGAGGAGTTCGGACGTATGTGTGTGTTAATTTACAACAAATAAATAATTACTTGTTCTATATAGCATTTGATACCATTTTATTTTTCTTCCAAGCAGATTAAATTTGCAAGACGATTTCTTTATTATTTTGCGAAATTGAATGGTTTGAAGCTGTATTAAAAATTATGTCAGGGAATGCCGATTTAATATCCAGTCGTATTTTCTCAAGTATCGTGAAGTTTGTCTGTTATATAGCACGGTTTTATTTTGATTCCATATTTAAATCAATTCGAAGGCTTTCCAGATAGATTAAATTGCAGATCTGTTATGCTCACCAGATATGTTCGCTCACTTTTCTGTAAGTCGGATTTTGGATTATCCAGCTGTGCAAATCTGCTGATTAGCTACAGTTACCATAATTCATCGCAGTTCTGCTGTGCTGCAGAAGTGAAAGAAGCGAGTTCGGAAGATAATGAAGGAGTAGAAGAAGCTATTGGTTATGCTTATAACACTGTAGAGAAGAAAAAAGGCCTTTATAAGCCAAAACATACATTAGAGGAGCAAATAGCATACATGAATAGTAAGGGTGTGTTTTTTCTTGTCATACAAAAAGAAACTAATATAAATTTAATTTAATTTTGTTTCAAAATAGTACATATTGGTTTAATGGAAAGAATCTTTGCTTTTTTGATTTAAATTGGAAATATTTTTGCAGTGTATGCGGATACGTATAAGGGAATGCCAGTCTATCATTTCTATAGGCGTAATTTTAAAGGACAATCTGTTTTTATGCCAAAACCACGGATGTTTTGTATTGATAAGGAAGGAAAATTTAAAGTAAATCATGCTTGCCCTATTTGTCGAGATGAGTATTTATTCTTCGATTATCGGGTATTTTTTTCCTTATGTGCTATTGTTTGTATTTAGTACATATTTAAATAACATTTAGATATTTCAAGATTAAGTGTATGTTGTAGTTGAAGCAATGAGCTTAATATAAGAAGTGAGAAATAAATTTTTCAAAAGAAGTTGACTTCACTTACGGGAACAGGGATTGAATATTGGATCAAATTGAATATTAAAATTATTATTATAATAACACATATTCAAAATGCTAAGCCTCATTTTTATTTATTACAGGATGACATATGGTATATTTTACTAAAAATTTCTTACCTAATGCTCACAGCTACTATTAGGCTGGTAAGCATTAGGTAAAAAATTGGTAGGCAGAAAGGAAAGTAACAGATTCAGTTTTTCAGCTTCTTTATTTGAAAAATAAAACATTTCAGAATCCTGCTTTAATTCTGCAGTTTCTTTTTGATCAAACCGATCGCATATTACCTCTTAAAAAGTTGGGTTTATGTTTTGATCAATATGCGCAGCTTCGAGCACAATTATTGAAAGCAAAAGAGCATGGTTTGTTTATGCTTTCGAGTTTCTCTGCCTTTAATATACCGCTTAAGATGAAAGAACAATATCGTTTCTTTATCTCTCATTTTGTTTTTCACACTGAATAACTCGGAGAAAATTCAAAGATTCGGAAAGAGAAGAAGTTTTAATTTAGATGGAGATAGTCTTAAGATACTTTTTTGAATTTATTATTTGGTCAGTTAATTTCTTCGAATAGTTTCGAAATAATTTCGTTTATGAAAATAGAACTTTTCAAGATCAGGAGTTCAGAAAATTATAAGTAAGCAATTATAATAATAACTTAAAATTCGTAATTTGTGTGTTGCGGTTTGCGGAAAATTGATACGATAAAATTTCTTGAGGGTAATAGCAAGATTATGTTTTGCTTTTCCTTATCTAATGAAATAATGACAAGAGTTTCGAATGTAGCGGGAATGAGCAATTATGCTGCTAAGTTGACACTTTCTTACTTCATTGTAATGATTAAATTTTTTGTAGGTTTCATCAAATTTGCAGTACCATTTCAAAATTTTGACTATAAGAACTGGTATCCGTGGTGGGATAAAGACGACCATGTATACGTTCGTCGCGAAGTACCAGTAGAAGAAATTCATAAGCAACCTTTGGTGAATTTTCCGGTCCATAACCGTGATTATAATAATGATTGGGATCAATACTGGCTACGGTATAATGAATTTGCACAGCGATCCAAATAAATGTTTAAATTTCATTATGTGTAAATAAGAGCCTGACTCTAGTTCGATTCTAGCAACCAACAAAGCCACAAAATTCGACTCAAAGAACTTTCCCAACTTTATGTTAACTCAAAATATTAACTCTTTGCACGATTTTTGCATTAATTACCTTCACAAGTATTATCTAGAACACCTTGAATACTCTATTCAGTTTTGGCTCACTGTGAACGAGATGGTAATTCTTTCAAATTCTTTACAATAACTCTTTCATTGGGTGGTGAACATAATGATGTTAGTTGTCTAACTCCATTTGACATATCATCAATGCATCCAATTTATTCAATATGTGGTACTGAATAAAATTCAAATTTATTATAGATTTCCTTCAATTTTCTGACAAATTTGGCCGTATTTTTTCGAAATTCACCACATGCAAGAACCTGAAAATTCATATGAAGTTTGATGCTTTCTAATTATACAAAAAATACCGCAATTTTAACATAACTGCAAGAAAATAATATTTTGGATGTGTATAAAATATGAATTACAAAACCATTATATCAAATTTTTCAAATGCAAAAGAAGTTATGAAACAATGTTGTTGCTTTTAAACCTAATTTTAATCAAATAAAATTTGTAAGATGACCCACATGATTGACAAGATTTGAACTGTCGGTGATCAGATGACAGCTACCGAACACATCCATGTATTTCTTTTGTATCTGAATTTGATCAATGAAAATGCGTAGCGTAAAATAGTACTACATAATACCGTTTGAAATTCATTTTTAAATTATACCTCTCTGAGTTCAAATTCTTCAAATGTCAACACTGATAAGACAACGATGCCTGAAAAACTGACAAGATCTTTTATTCGGCAACCTTTTTATGAAACACAAAATCAGTTTTTAATTAAGAGTTCAATTTTCAAATTTATATTTCGTGTCGTGGAACTTTATCCGAAAGCAACAAAAAATGTAGTAAACAAAGTCCAATTTTTTAAAAAATAATGGATAGGTTTTAAATTTCCTCTGCATGTCCGTTCTCGAAATATGCAAATGCCTGAAAATTCTCGCAATGATAGCTTTTATAAGCCCCATAATTCAAACTGAAATCGACGATTTTCCAAGGTGGTTCAATAGGTTTGTGAATTTTCGAAAACGGAATAGCCGAAAGATCGGAAATCACTAAACAATTTATACTTCCATGAATTGTAGAAGTTGAGAGAAAAACGAACCATTTTCGGTCAATGCTTCTTTAATAATTTCCAAATTTTCTTCCAGCGCAAAAGCTTCAACAGGACATATCACTTCGCTTACAATTCTGTCATAACAAGCATCGATAAAGATTACATCGAATTTCAACTGACCTCCAAATTTCAATTATTTGCTCTTTGGTGTATTTATTAGAATAGCGGTGGTATTCAAAATTCGAAGTGACAAAATTTCAAATGTATCGAAAGCCGAGATCAAATTTGGTAATTGTCCGCCTGATATTGCAATCTTTTCATATGCAACTAATTGTTTTTGAATAATTAGAAATGAAACAAACTTGCAGTTTTTTCCAAATACTTTAGACCATCCTCAATGATTATCCTTTGATAATCGTCTTCGATTAGACCGAAGTATTTTTTAGCTATTTCATACATTCCTTTCTCCAATTCTATTACTGTTATATTCATCTGAAATTAATTTTTTCAAAAACTTTAATTTTTAAAAATTGTGTGTATGACTTAAAACAATAGATGAGAGCATAAAAATTGAGCAGAAAAATATGTATATTGTTAAATGATTTGATAAATAAATATATTGGATAATGTATGTGATAATCTGACAGCTGACGTATAGTAAGTCATTGGTTGGAACGGCAAGTAATTATTAAAGTATTCCATATAATGTGCAAAATTTTATTTCTAATTAATTGTCCTCCCATTAAATTTCAATTTCATTTAATAGAATACAGAGGTGTCTTATATTTTCAAACTTTTAAACCTAATACTTATTTGTAAGGAAAAAATAACAAACATTGCTAAACATATCATGCAGAAAACTGTTCAAAATCCCTGTACCAAGACCGATTTCCAGGATATTCCATACTTTGCTATTTTTCTCCAGTTGTAGCGTTCCAAGCGCAAATGGCGCAGCAGCCATTGCTTGAATATATGGAACCAAAATTTTCGAATGATTCAATGGTAACAGTAAAGTGTCCAATTTTGTCTCATTTTCCTCTTCTAAAAAAGAATGGTTTATTGATTAAAGAAAACTGTATGATACTTATTTAATTCAGCATAATCCCTTCACATTAACGGTCGATTTGAAATGCGAGGAGAATATAATACTTCAACCAAAATTTAGGCTTCTCATGCCTTCGTAATAAATTAACTAACATAAAGCCTACCCTCTGGTATCTCCAATAGCATGCTTGCAACTGCAAATGGACTTATGTCGGTAAGTTTCATTATTCGTTGGATGTATATGCTGTAAGCACAAGCCGCATTAGTTTTCCGTTTATTTACAGATGTTCAAATATCATAAATTAATTAAATGAAACAGAAAATTAACATTTAGTAAATTCTGTTCATTCAGAAATAGGAAATCTTATATTGAATTAATATTTAGTTGCAGAAGGTGTTGTTTAATTCTAATGCTTGAGAAGCTTGAAATGAAGAAAAGGAATTTGATTTTAAAAATTGTAAACAATGTTTATTGAAGAGTGGTACCTTCCATCGTATTCTCTCATCGCTATATCCTCAATTTTATGATGTCTTCCATTAATCAATAAATCATCCAATAAGATTACTTGCATAAGTCGATTAGTATCGTAAATTTCATAACTGCACACCAAAAAGTAGGAGGTAAGAAACTATAAAATATCAAATTTTCTATGATCCATTTTGATTAAACAAATATAATTCTATAATAAATCACAAAAAAAGAGGAATAGAACTTGGAGTATGAAATGCTAGGAAAATTTGAATTTAATTTTATGATTTAAGCTTAATTTCTACTTAATATAATTTAATTAATTTAGTTCGAACACTAAAACAAATGCATTTTAATTTTCTAGCAAAATAAATTAAGCATTACATTGATATTTGTTTGAAAAATCCCTTAACAAATGAAACGCCAACAAAGTTTATATTAATTATAATTCGAAAAATCGGACGTGAAATTTTTAGAATTTTGACTTTTCGGAAGAAATCATAAAATTAGACTGTTATAAAATTCTAAGGTAACAACACTAAGATATTCTATCCAGTTTATTATTTCGAAAAAAAACCAAAATTGTATGGAAAGTTATCGCAGCGTAGGTCAATGCTTCTAATTGCCATGTTTAAGGATTAAAAGCGCTGTAATTACAGCTACTGTTTAGCATACGGTAATGGATTATTAATTGAATAAAATCTTAATCTTATTATCTATGAAGTATATTTGATATAATTCTGATTCTGTTAACCTGCATAATCTTTATTCATGTTTTACGCATATCAGAATTTCTTTTTAGTAATTCCTTTTGATAATTATAACATGTTCTAACTAATACTTTAATACTTTCCTATAATAATAATCTGAAAATTTTTGTCATTTGATTAAATTAATTCATGTTTTTCGTTACGTAATTGTACTTGATCTTGTATAATCTGTTTTGAATGGGGGAAAGGCTTTCAGATCTCTCATGAAACAAGTTTTTCCTCATAAATAACTGGTAACCTCAAATAAACTAGAAGAAAT